AGAGAGAGAGAGAGAGAGAGAGAGAGAGAGAGAGTCAATGAACGGGACCAAGAAGGGAAGTTGCTCGAAAAGGTTCAGTACCCACGAAGTTCAATTAACAATGTGTCGATAGGAATGTGGCTTTACCGCAGAAAAAAATCCTTGCACAATATTGGACATTGCAACCGACTCGTCGTCTGTGAAGCTTGAACACACAATTGAGAACCGCATATAGTAGTAACGATACTACAAAGTCGGGGCCTCAGGAGCAGATTTCAGGGGCCAAAACCTATGTTACATAATTCACAACACTGTTCATGTGCAGTGGCCCCTGAAATCTGCTCCTGAAACCTATAAGGCTATACCTATGTTACATTATTCACATAATAATGACTCTTGAGTCTTATTCTCATCAGTACCTGCGCGGTGAGATGATCATCAGTCATGCATTCAAACATGCAAGTTCAAATACACAAGAAGCAGTATACACAAGGCACACTACTCAAGACAAGAAAGAGAACCGAGCGCAGGTAATGTCGAAAGATACAGCAATACGCACAGCGATGTCAGGCGAAAGGACCCTGCGCGGTGGCCGAATGCTACACACATATAACTACTTACTAATAGTTGCTATCCATAAAGAGATCATGCACACAAGTCCAGGATAGCGGACATATAGTAACCTTGCCTTCGGGGTCATCCCCTTGCCCCCCTCCCCTCTCCTCCCTTTCCCTCCCCTCCCCTCCCCTTCCCCCTTTTCAACTTACAAAATAGTACTCATTTTCAAAAACACAGCCACAAACGTCTTATATGCGAGTATTTGTCCTCATTGCCACAAACCGTGCGCTGCAAGTTTCAAGATATCACGTTCGAATTTCAAAATTTATTTCATTTTTGGACTTCAAGCAGGTTGTAGACAACAAGGCAAGGTGTGACACACGTACATCACACGAACTCAATTTTGAATCTGAAAACTTGTGAACCTTGCATCACATGTAGGCATTCAATTTTGTGCACACGCATTACCTACAAGAGAATGAATGTAAGTGCAAGAAGCTCTGGCGCTTCACTGCGAAATTCTAAATTTTAATCCTATCTAAATCAGAGGCGTAGAACACGCTCTCAGCTTGGAACGGCAACAATCAGATTACGGATATTTAAATTACATTTCACATTTTATTTATTTCTGGGACGAGTTCTAATCACAATGAGATACAGTATAATGACAGGGGATCCGTCCGCAAGCAGACGGAATCGAACCGGTGATCTCGGCAATCACAGTCTAATTGTCTTTACCACGACAACCATGACGTCGTGTTCAAAAACGGCAGCCCTCGTACCCGTTGTGACATTCACCCGACCCCCTGCGCGGTTGCAGTACTCACTCTCACTCAACACACTTGACACCTCTTGAAAAATGCCGAGTGGTTAACAGGGACCACCCCCCTTTCATCCTCAGGTACACCCCCAACAAGTATGGCTTAAAAGGTTTGGGACGTTGGTTATAATGACCTTGAAAAAAGTTCAATACCCTGCCCTGAAAATTTAGGGCTCTGTTAACCTCTTCTCCTTGGACTCTACATCAGATCTCCCCGCTCCTCTCTCTCTTAGCTATGGTGCATCAGCACCTTCTACAGGCTATGGCTACCACTCTCTCACTCTCTAGCTGCGACAGCCTCTCACTCTCTCTGTCTGCCTTCTCTCTCTCTCTGAACCCAGGTCAGTGCACTATCCCCTTTTGTGGAAGAAAATAAATGAATGAAAGGAGAGGGGGAGAGAACTCACTGCAATGAGGAGGCCATACTCCACACTAATGAATACGACACCAAAGAAGGCACCCAAGAGTGCCACAAAGTCCAGCTTGTCTGTCTGCCATATCTGCTTCATCGCCGCAATATCGATCTGCGACACGGCAATGACAGGTGGGTGGCATGCAAAGACAGGTGGCAGTCAAAGACATGTTGCACGCACGGATTTGGAAAGTTGGTAAATTTCAGAATTGCAGCAATTGCTTCAATTCAATTGCTGGAATTTTTGGTTCCTTTGGGACATCCATTAAAATTGGAACGATACACAGAGAGAGAGAGAGATAGAGAGAGAGAGAGAGAGAGAGAGAGAGAGAGAGAGAGAGAGAGAGAGAGAGAGAGAGAGAGAGAGAGAGAGAGA